CCATGCTGCTGCCTGTAGTTGAAACTATGCTTCACAGCCGGATAAGTGAGGGAAATGATCTCTTTCAAATTTGATATAAGTATAAAACTTGGGCACTGTGATAGAGTATAACTCCATTATAGATAAGATTTTATTTTGATAAGTCATACAGTGTTACACAGTAATATTAAATTACTTTCGTTGTGGATCACTTCACATGTAGAATCGTCTTATAGCTGTTGGATGAGGATGATATAGATTTGGGACGCTGCACACCATGGTGTTGAAGTAGTTTGCAAAATACTTCATGGTCGATGCTATCTAAGGCCTTCTCGAAGTCGATGAAATTGAGGTAGAGGTTTGACTACTATTCTATGTTTCTTTTGATTACTGTGCATAGAAAACTATTTGATCGGCACATTATCTGCTTCCCTGGATCCAGCCTATTCCGGGAGTTCTGTATTCAGTGCATCTTTTATTCCATTCAAGAAAACACGACTTAATATTTTGCTTGGCACAGACAAGAGCATGATTCCACGTCATTTCTTGCTGAGGCCTAAGTCGTCATTCTTTGACGAGGTAGTCGACCTTTCTTTCAATCAGTAGGTATTTTTCCTTCCTTCCAAACCTTCTGCAACATTGGCATCAACATATCCACTGAGGTCTCTGGGTCTGTTTCCACTGTTTCAGAGAGAATTCCACCTGATCCTGCTGCCTTCCTGGCTGGCTTTCATCAACTTGATTGCAATCAAGATTCCTGCCTTCGTTGGAGGACTGTATTCCACTGGCATTTCTGTGTATGCTGTTGGTAGTATTTCTGGACGAGTTGCAAGTGATGGTCGATTCAATAATCCTTTCAAGTAATCAGTCCGCTTTTATTATTCTCTCTTCTTTGGTAATTAAGTTCTCGTGGTCGTCTTTCATTGGTTTCATCACCTGTGTCTATCTGTTCCTAGACATAAACCTGGTTATCTGAGATAATGTCCTGGGGCCTCTTTAACTTCTCCATTCCTGTTCTCCTTCAGTTGCCAGCCAGTGTATCGTTGAATTGTCTTTTGTCTTTCTAGCACTCTTCTTCACTTCCTTATTCAATTCAGTGCAGTGTACACTAAACTCAGCTTCTACATTTGTTGCCCATCTTGGTATTGAGTCTTTTTCTCTTCCACCATTCTTCTCTCCTCGATTAGCTTCCAGGTAGGTGTCCGTTGAGAGTCATTCCTTTTCTTGTCCCTCCGTCTTTCCTAGAGCAGTTGTACACGTCTGTTCCCCTTCTTGACTTTGTGTCTAGTAGGCTGCGTCTCCAATCCCTTGAGACTTAGATTAGATCTACCTCATTTTTGGTGTGTCTTTCAGATGAAATCCTTATCGCTTTATGTATATCCTTGTGATATTATACTCTACGTCCAGTCACCAAGTCAGTTAATGCACAGGTATCTGAGAGGAGTTCTCCGTTCTCATTCATCTCACTATGAGTCTCTTAACCCATGTATTATCTGAAAGCAGCTCGTCATTTGTAACGCCCATAAGGATTTCAGTGTAGCCATTTGGGATGTTGTCCATTACTGTTTTCAGATGTCTATAAAAATCTTCCTTCTTCGCATGTTTTAAGTTGTTTGTAGGTGTGTAGTATTGCATGATTGTGACCTTCTTTTCTTCCTTATGAGTTGAATCTTGCAGTCATAATCCTGGATGAAATCAGTTCCCGCAGCGTTAGGGCTTTGGCTGCTGCTCGTAACATTATGATACCCACTGTTTCAGTGTGCCTGAGGTTGTCATCTGGGTGACCGGAGGAGATTATTGATTCTCCAGTAAAAAAATTTTGATAGTCCACACCCATTACACTCGCTCTCACAGATCCTTAGTTCATTTCACTCTTTTGGCAACCTGAGGAGCCTTCACATCTTGGTACATTGTAGGAAAATTCCAAATCACCATCCTTATATTTGCTTTCGTCGAAAGAAGACACATGGGCTGACTGGCTGTTCAATGTCTCTTAATCACTTGGGTCATTTCATCTCTCCAATTCCAGTGAAGAATAAGCTTTTTATATATTTTTTCCCTATTAACCGAAGTTTCTGTAGCGATTAGATCGATTTTCTGTGGTAGGGTCGCCAGCTCGCTTTAAAATTTTCTCTTAGTTTTCCTTGATATCTTTGAACGCAGCATTAAAAAATCTTTTTATTAATATTCTGAAGACTAAACGGAAAAATTTCATTTATGTAAGCTGATCACAAAGTCACTATTTTGTAGGTGAGATACTGAAGGTGTCTGAGAAGATTTAGACAAACGACTTCTAACGGACCACGTTTTTCAGGTTGTACTATGTCAATTGAACTTTGAATAAAGTTTCTAAAACCACTTAAATTAGAATCAGCAGATCAATTAAAAGTAGCTACACACCTTACATTTTACCATCTGCATAAACTTAGTGGAATAATGACGAGACAATATAGTTGCCAATATGATTATCAGTGTACAAAATACTCCTACTCTAAAATTTTCTCATTTTGTATTTCTGATGGATTTTTTTCCTTCAAGTTCCCCAGTGGAACATGGGGCTCCAAGCTATTGGCTTGAAGTTTCTGTAGCAGTGTTTAGTTTTTACAGGATGGGGTTGCTAGCCTCATGCCCAATCTTTCCTCTTTACCAGTATTATTTCTGGCTCAGGGAGGTAAAGGAGTGCGTCGACCGGGGATCGAAACCCGGACAATGTGCATGGTCAGCGAGCGTCCTAACCGCCATGCCACCGACGCTTGTATTTCTAATGGGCACCTTATGAATTTGGTAATTAGAGTCCTCCCGCTGAAAAAGGAGTGTCACTAAAGCTTCAGTTAGTATATCTAGCATTATTTTTCAGCAGGACAGAAAAATTTCTTCTTTAGCGATTTACTTTATATTTCGTAAACAGACACTGTATAAGATATCACACATATATAATTACCTGTGATACGACGCATTGATTCTGTTTAAACTTTTACTTCCAGTTTAATCTCATGTAAGATGTATTTTCTTTAGTCAGGTAATACCTCTTTAGTTTTATGGGAAATGAATAATAATTGGAATGTTACATTTGAAAATAACTTACTGGCTAGATTATTCAGTTAGAATGAACCTTTAGTGACTCCTATGTACCTCTTTTCATTTCAAAGTTATTTATTCAAGGGCACACACACACATTATTATTCCTTTGGGATCCTAGGGGAATATAGAGCTTCAACAACATGTCTCCACTTTGTTCTAGTTGGTGCTGTTCTCTTCAGCTGGGTCCACGATCCCCCATAATCTCTCATCTCCTCCTCACCACCACCACACGACTCCTCCACCCTCACACTGACGACCCACCCATCGCTTCCTTTTGAGATACCAGTCGAGCGATGGCCTGCATTGCGTGCGATGTTATTCGACGGTCTCCTCAACGTTTACCCGATCCATCTCCATTTTCTCCTACATATTTGTTGGATGATCGGCTCTTGCTCGGTTGGTTTGTTCCCAGTCAGAGTTTCTTGTCACTAATCCTTTCTAGCCGGTCATCTGATTTTCACTATAGAGCCAGAGAATCAGGGAGCTGTTGACAGAAGTTTTCAGTTGGCCTTTGGAAATCCCTTTCGTGACACACTGGCCAAGTTTCTGACCCATAGAGAAGGACAGACTTCACATCGGTGTTGAAGAGATGCTTTATTGTGTTTATTTCTTCTGATTTTGATTTCTCGAGAAATCCAGTTGAACTAGAAAATCTTGAAAAACCATCAGGTATAGGTCTACACACTATAGAACCAGGCCACAAAATTGATTTTCACAATATTGAAATAATAATCCAGAAAAACTTCAGAAATCACAAAGAACGTCCAATATCAGAAGCACTTCATATCAAGTGGAATCCACATTGCCTGAATAGGAATGATGGACTTAAACAGAATCTGACCTGGCTACAACACCCCCCTCCCCCATGAGGTGACAAAATCAACACAAATATGATAAGCAAGTTTACTATGTAAACACACACTTCTTTCATAATTTTACACACTGATAAAATCCAACTTGATCCACGTGATTTTGTTATCTCTACCAATTCACCAACTTGACAACAAAAACCGACCCCAGACAGACGAACGATGATGAATATTTAATTGGTGGATGGTGACTAGCAGTGGAATCCAGGATGCGCATTTCGTCCTATTTAGGACTCGTCAAAGCATCTACACAAGAAGCCAACATGTCAACCAGAGACCGAGCACTTCGGTCCAACCAATCAAAGGGAAAATTAAAAATTCAACTAAATAATGAACGATGATCAAGTTAGTAAACCTTATTTTGATATCATAACAGACGTACTATTACTTCTGTTATTTGGTTTAGTGATCATTGATATTCTGACTTTCTTTACGTCCCTTTAACTTATCCTAAGTCTATTTTCTCACCCCTAAATCTTTGTTATATATATGCTGAGATTTTGTGAATTCCGGTTCAATAATACTTTGATAAAGCTACTGGCAATAAATAGCGAAACGTCAGTAAAAACAATATCGTTTTGTTTTTCATTCATTGGGAAATACAAAAACCTTTATTATAATGAATATCATATACTCAATGCCCAATTTTTTTCAAACCGTTAAAAGTGAACAATGATTTTGTTTAAATCTTATAACAGTTAAATTTTTGAGGCTTATTTTCAATTCGCTTTACAAAAAAAATCTAATTTTTTTAAGCTTTCAGACTATAAATGATATTCTGTTTGCATAAAAGCCAATCAAATAAAGGTAATAAATGACATGCAAGAGTGTGCAGTAACAGTAACGCTCTTCCTTAATCTTCTGTATTTCCCTGTGTCTATCTAGCCTTCTAGTTACATGTCTATCCATTTTCCTATCTTTGAAAGTTAAATACTATTCACATTGCTGCTAATACACCTCCCTTATACCCCCTTCTCAATATCTTACCAATATATATATATATATATATATACTATTACACTTTAGTACATCAATACGTATTACAACAGTACTACAATTATTACAGGAAATATGAAAGTGTAAGTCTACAGAAGCATTCATGATTTTTATTTTTTTTTCATGAATACTTATTGTATAATTTAAAATAATGATGAGTAGACCACATAAAAGTGGAAAATCTCCATTTAGTTATAGGCGAGTATGTTATATACTAAAGACTTAAAAGTTATGCTACTGATACAACATGTAGGTGACTAAAATACATTGAAATGTGTGGAAAATCTGTACAGAATGTGAAAAACTACAAACAGCTAGTAGTAAGTCAGTAAAACTTAGAAAATACCTAGTTGATCTGGAGGATTAATTTCCTCACTTGTTTCTCTTCATACTGAATTTTCAGTGTTGGGTAAACGCTAACCAACTCTTGACAATTTATTTAAAATAGCCCATTTGCAAAATAATGAAAGCATAGCAAACACAAACATTCAAATTAATAATAGCACTCCAATTTTAATTGTCTTTTTGAACTTCTTTTGATATTGAGCGGTACTAAGTTAAAAGATGACTTAAAACAAAGACTTATTAGATTTCTTGGCTGACTGTTGGTACAGGGTTACTCTGTTACCTTGAAAGAAAATTTCACCCCCATCTTAGCAGTACTCTTCACTTTGGTACAAGTTGGAGAACAGATGGTAACTGCGTGGAGTAGTCTTATCATTGATGAAGAGTAGGATACTTTTCAAGAATATATGTCAATCTGATATTGGTAAAATGGATGAAACAAAGCCAAATTATATGCAGAACACCCTAAATAAGTTGCTACTTCGGTCATACCAGATGGTTTTTTTAGATTTGCATATCAAGTTGTTTTATTTAGATTTTAAAATAGCTATGATTTCCTCTCTTCACTGTTGGGAGAAATTTGTGCTTTTAAATAATGAAGTCTTTAATATAAGTGAAAAACATGGACACAGTAACACAGTGCAATTCTATAAAAATTTCTTCATTGGAAACATCAAGTATCGATCCGAGATTGCGAAAAATGTTCGAAAGGATGCTCACTCATTTGTATCTAAGTCCATATATCAGTATGCAGTCAGTACTATGTTTTACAACACAGAATGTATTTTGAACAGAGAATACTCTTTTCGATAACTTCATCATCAGGTTCTACAGTTATGTATACATAATAGTGAATGAATTAGTGTTACAAATAACATTAATGTTGTTTAAATAACATCGAATCAATAATATGAATAGATTACAGTTCAATAGCATCAACATAACAATAAACTAAATGTCAGAAAAATTAGGAAAGTTAATCTGACAAATTCATGAATTTATAGTCTCTACTGAAGGCCAAGGCAGTAGTAGGGGTTGGACTTGCTTCTTTCCTACACAAAGCACTGGTTGTTTCACGTGGATTGTAATAGCCTCTGCTGTTTAGAGCGTGCGGCGCTTCAATGTTTTTGGCAATTCATTTGGCACCAGGTAGATGATAGAGAAGGATTCTTCACTGCTGGCTTTGTCGTCGGTTTGCACCAGATAGTCTAATATGTAACTCTTGATGGTTTTCACTGCACCTTCACTTAGCCATGCTGGTAGATGTTCTCGAGCCCGAAAAATTAAATAAATAATAATAAATGAATAAAAGACTTCCGAATGTATATAAAGTTATTCTTGTGAGAATTTAGTAAGTATTTGTCTATACATAAAATGGTTAGTAATCCAGATAAGTAATAACTATTTGTCACTTATCATTAAGTTTTAAAATAACCTCATATTTAATGTTTATTTGTCAAGATAGTGGAACTTCTGCAGTCATAAATGTATGGATTACTACAACTGTGTATAACTTCTTTCTTGTATCAACATTTTTTTAAAATTCTCGAAGTACTACTATTCACTAACTATATTTAAGGGTAATTATTGTTATTGATAATTTTGTATAATTATGTGTTCGCATTGTTTCGCCTTTTGCTTTCAAGGTTTTTGTTAGGCAGTACACTATTATGACATGTAAATAATTGTGATACCTGTACTCAATAAATATACACCATGGGATTATTTATCTGTAACTGACTCAATAGTCCTGATTGCTTTTTGATTTTATCATTTTATGTAGTAATAGTATGTAGATGACATGAGCATCAAAAAGGGGAGAATGAAAATTTTATCACAAAACGAAATGCCGAAAAGGCATCATTTCTGTCGCGAATTGATATCAACCTAGGAAAAATTGACAATAAAAAGTGTTTTGCTGACTGCTTCTGCTAGTTCTCAAAATACTTTATAGTATTAGTAGATTGCTTTTTGTGATAAACACAAATTTCACTGTGCATTTCTTAGAATAACTTCCTTATTAGATCTGAATTCATTCTATTAGTATAGAGAAAGTTATAAAGTTTTTGCCGAGAGATTTTTGTGAATATCACTCAACTTCTCGCATGGTCTACGAGTACGACATTTACATGCAGCATAGTCAGTCAAGATTCATCTGAACAAGTTGAATCTGTTTGTTGAAAACAAATTTGTACAACCTGATTTTTTAGTCTTGGCCAACTACGCAATAAGTACTAAGTCTTTTTAAAACGATTTTCTTCTTTCCCCTTTTAATTATCTTTTGAATTTGTTAACTTTTACAATTCTACTTAATTCTATTAATTTGTTTGTAATTTACGTAATTCTTCTGAATCATCCTATCCTTCTTAGTCATCATTATTTTACAAATTTCTTGATTCTGTAATAACTTGCTGCTAACGCCTAAGAATTAACTTATCTTGAATTCCATGATTGAGTTTAACCCCTCCCCCCTTGAAAACTTATATATATATATCTTGTTGCTAACATCTACTAGCTAATTGTTTTGATGACCTTTAATGTCTTGATTTCACCCTCGCCTATACCTAAAACTGAATAACTAAAACAACCACTTGATTGCTAAAATTTCGATTTAAAAATTTACTTATTAGTGTAAAGCCAGCGGTGAGGAACTAATTGAAAAGGAATGTATTTCTTTGTTCGATCTGTTGTTTTTTTCTAATTTGAAGTGCTCAAGCTGGTGTATTTAGACACGGTTCCATATTGTCAGTTAAACCACCGACGATTATTCCAGGTAATGAAATGATTCCTTTACAAATCACTCTCTGCGAATCATTGTGAATGGTACTAGGTATTCTCACTGTTCGATACTGGTTCTGAATACCTATTCTGAAAGTGACAATATCTGCGCTGTAATTCTACATTTTTTCCTTAGGTGGAATCCAACAAAAATGAAAAAAAAAGTGAACAGGTTTAAATGATATTACCTTCTTTCGTTGTCTCTTATAAATTGCAAACATCCTACAATAGTTATAACATCCATATACCAATATTTACATACTTTCATTATTTATATCCATGTAAATGAATATAGTGCTTCTGTGGAAAAGTGGTGGAATGCTGGCCAGCCACGCCTCATGTGGTCCAGAGTTTGGTCCGAACGGCCGACGCACTCCCAAACCTCGCTAAGCCAGTAATAAGACTGGTAAGAAGGGAAGGTTGGGCATCAGATTAGCAACCCCGCCTCTTAGCAAAAATAGACACCACTGCCACCGAAACTTCAAGCCTCTAGTTTAAAGTTCTATGTTCCACTGGGAACGTAAAGGAATGATTAAATAATGATGATAAGTTAATTTATGGATATAAAAGAAGAGAATTATAGGCGTTAGTAAGTTTGTTTGAATGTAGGGAAAATATAAGAGAATATGCTGTAGCAAGAAACCAACGATAATCAGTAATCAAAGGTGTACAACATTAGTAGCAACCATGAAGTAAAAGTTAGAACTTTTCATAATTCGAAGCGATTAAAAATAGTAAGTTGAGGGAAGGTTAAATATTCAGCTGAAGCATATGGATGAAAATAAAAGATGAATTAAGCAGTAAGAAGTTTTACTATCAGAAAGAAGTTTAAAATATGGGAACTAATTAAAACATATGCACAAAGGTGGAGAAAGATTGACAGCAGCTTCTTTCCTAATACACAAGCTGGTTTTTATCCGTTTAATAACTATCGCCTCGATAATATGTCATACGCTGTAACTGACTTCTACAATCACTATCTCTTTTGGTGGCTACCTACAAAGTGATAGGCCACTGCATTGATGAGGACTTATGCCCATTCCAGTTTAAATGAATCATCTGGTAAAGTTAAGGTTTTTCCAATGTTTATTCTATTAGGTTATACTAATCAAAAGATGATATCTCCTCTAATTTGTATTCCAATGTAACTTATCTGATGATGGGAAACAGTGAAATCTAGTTTAATTAAACGACTTCTATACAGTATAGTGAATAATTATCTGCGAGTTTTGAATGCGCGTAAGACATCAGCTTTCCGAAAACGGTTATATTGACCTCTCTAGCAAGTAATCGCTTCACTTCAGAAGCTTAATTTGTATGTGTTTCATCATATCCTGAATAATCTACGACTCACTTTTGGTAGAAAACCACCGTGCAGCATTCCAATTTTTTCACAGATTCATTTTTAGGTGTTGGTTTGTTAATGATAAAAATGTATAATTTTAATTTTTTCTATTTTGAGATAGAGAAATATTAGGAAAGCAGATACTGTCATTTTGTATTTCGACATCGTTTATTAAGTGAAGTGTATCCATTGAGTCATGAAGAAAATAAAAGACAGATTCAGCGAAGAAAATTTTTCTTTATCGACGAAATCATCTTCAGAGGCTGTATAGTCGTATTTATACTTACAAAAATATATAGTGGTCTGTCATTGAACAAAAAAGGGGTGACATGATCGATATAATTACTCATAAGTGGCTTTAGAAGTGAAGTGAGAAGTCGTGACCAGTAGGGTGCAGCAGGCCGGGTGTGAGGACAAATATTCGCCGAAGACATTCGCTAGGGGTCGCGCTATGTCATGAATTGGCAGAAGTTAGAATTAATGGGCCATTGGATCGGGTCCCAATGGCTCAATGGTATACAAGCTCGCTTTGTAACCAGAAGGTCCTGATTTCGAATCCCGACGGGTGCATACTGCTGAAGAGTTTCAAGCTAGGACGAAACAGCTGTCCAGTGC